GGTCAAATCAGTCGATCCTAAAATAAATCAACCCTAACTGTTCCCTGGAAGGCCAGATACTGATGCTGAAGCTCAAATACTTTGGCCACCAAATGAGAAGGGAGCACTCACTGGAGAAGACCCTGCTGCTGGGAAAGATTGAAGGTCAAAGAAGACGGGGACAGCAAAGGATGAGATGGTTAGACAGTGTTATCAAGGCAACAAACATGAAATTAAGCAAACGCTGGAGCACGATAGAAGACAGGAGGGCCTGGTGTGATGTGGTCCATGGGGTTGCGAAGAGTCGGACTTGACTCTGTGACTGAACAACAACAGTGCGCAACCTGAACCATTCTGCTTTCGTACTGTAACAGACAGTTAAACTGCAGGAAGAGGTACCTAATCTGTGCAACGTACGTCACAAAGACCCACGTGGTTGCAACCACATTCAAGAATGGAAGCCGCAGCACCTGGTGGTTATTCGGAGAGGTGGTCTAGGACAGCCGTTCACAAATTGCAAGTGTTTTTAAAAGGGGATTTCTCTGCAGAGGAGCTAAGTGGCTTAGGCACTTGACTCTATCCTAGAGTGTCAGACAAAGGTCCGGAAGCCTTAGGTTCACATCCCCACTCAGTTAGTTGCAAAGCATACTGGGTGACCTTGGCCCAGTCCCTCTCTCCACCCACCCACCCCCACTTAACCTACCTCACAGGGGTGCTGAGAGGATAAAATGAGGAAAAGATCACCACACGTCCTGCTCTGAGCTCTCCAGAAGATGGGCTACAGCTATGCAACATAATTTTTCTCCGAAAGGGATCCAAGAAAATGCTCTTATTTGACCTCCCTCTAATGCTCCCAGGCACTTGGGAAAGAAGAGTTACTTCTCCTACCAGGGATTCTGTGGTGTTTTCCAGCGCTGAGGCCGCTGATCCGTCTGCTGGGATTGCTCCAGTCTGCTGGAAAGCTGGACGGAGTTGTAGGTGTGCTATGAGCTTGTTGCAGCTCTGGGGAATTAAAAAAAGACATTAAAATTAAACATTCTTAGCCTGAACTCTAGTTATACCTATAGACATCTGCCATTGCATCTGTCACTTTTGTCATCCCACCTTTCCCGTAAGGAAACCAAGAAGTCGCTCTGCACAGTTTCTCTACGTTAACTGCCTGAAAGGTAGATTTGGCTGGCCTTCCAGTGAGATTCCTGGCTGTGCAAGGATTTGAACTCAGGTCTTCCTCGTCAAAGTCCAGGACTCTAGCCAGGGCATCACACCAGTTCTACAAGCAAAAGGTACTGTTATGAGATGTCGTTTGTCTATTTCAGTGGGTCTGTCATATTTCCCGCCCCACAGTTTTCTTTCAGTCATTTGTCAGTGTGCATCTGTAACTTCCACTGTGTGATCCTCACTCCTTTTATTTGGTTTGAGTTCATAACGTTGTCTTAGGCTGCTCCCGCATGGAGTTTTCTATCCAGTTTACCATCCATCCAAACTGCAGCAGGGCTTTTTGGAACACTGTCCACTCTCCAGGTCTCCCCCCTGCTTTGCTCGGATCTTACCCCAAACTTGCTTAGAATCATAGAGTTGGAAGGGGCCATACAGGCCATCTTGTCCAAGCCCACCCCCTTCCCACTCAGTGCAGGATCAGCCCAGAGCATCCCTGACAAGTGTTCGTCCAGGCACTGCTTGAGGACGGCCAGTGAGGGGGAGGCTCACCACCTCCCTAGGCAGCGGACTCCACCGCTGAGCTGCTCTTCCTGTAAAAAGAGCCCTTTGATATGATCACACTTGAAAGCCTCACGTCTCTTGAGAAACCTGTATAAGGGCCAAGAAGCGACAGTTAGAACCGGATATGGAACAACTGATTGGTTCAGCATAGGAAAAGGAGTACGACAAGGATGTATATTGTCGCCTTGCTTATTTAATATATATGCAGAGTACATCATGCGAAATGCTGGCCTGGATGAATCACAAGCCAGAATTGAGATTGCTGGGGAAAAGATCAACAACCTCAGATATGCAGACGATACCACTCTAATGGCAGAAAGTGAAGAGGACCTAAAGAGCCTCTTGCTCAGGGTAAAAGAGGAGAGCGCAAAAGTGGGCTTGAAGCTCAACATCAAAAAAACTAAGATCATGGCATCCGGCCCCATCACTCCTTGGCAAATAGAAGGGGAAGCTGTGGAAGTAGTGACAGACTTCACGTTCCTGGGATCCCAGATCACCGCAGACTGTGACAGCAGCCATGAAATTAAAAGACGCCTGCTCCTTGGGAGGAAAGCGATGGCGAACCTAAACAGCATGATAAAAAGTAGAGACATCACCCTGCCAACAAAAGTCCGCATGGTCAAAGCAATGGTATTCCCAGTAGTCATGTATGGCTGCGAGAGCTGGACTATAAGGAAGGCCGAGCGCCGAAGAATAGATTCTTTTGAACTATGGTGCTGGAGAAGACTCTTGAGAGTCCCTTGGACTGCAAAAAGATCAAATCAGTCAATCCTAAAAGAAATCAACCCTGACTGTTCCCTGGAAGGCCAGATAATGAAACTGAAGCTCAAATACTTTGGCCACCAAATGAGAAGGGAGCACTCACTGGAGAAGACCCTGATGCTGGGAAAGATTGAAGGTCAAAGAAGACGGGGACGGCAAAGGATGAGATGGTTAGACAGTGTCATCGATGCAACGAACATGAAATTGAGCAAACTTCAGAGGACGGCGGAAGACCGGAAAGCCTGGCGGGAGCTGGTCCATGGGGTCGCGAAGAGTCGGACTTGACTGTGCGACTGAACAACAACAACATTTGAAAGCTCATGCTCAAAGCATCCTTGCGTGTCAGGTGGACAGGAAGCTGCTTGTTTTTAAGGTCCCACCTTCATGGGATATATTTTCCTTTGGTTGCCCCCCCCTGCAGCTTCTTTCCCCCACCCTGACATCAGAGGGATTTGGGGAAGGGGGCTTTACATGGGGGCTTTACATGAACTCATGACGCTGTCTTATACTGAATCAGACCCTGGGTCCATCAAAGTCAGTATTGTCTACTCAGACTCAGTATCATCTGCTCAGCTCTCCAGGGTCTCAGGCTGAGGTCTTTCACATCACCTCCTACCTAATCCTTTTAACTGGAGATGCTGGGGATTGAACCTGGGACTTTCTGCAGGCCAAGCAGTTGCTCCACCCTTTAGGCTTTAGGTTTTGCATCGGCAATTGCGAGATGGTTATACTGAAATAACGTTATTCCTCTCAATTCCCAACTTCCAATTTTAAAAAGCACTTTTCTTTATATCTCTGGGAATTCATACAAAAGTGACTTATTTTAGCTCTGGATCCACGACCACAGAGATGCCGCCAGATATGACCATTCCTGATCCTTGCCCCCGGCCCATCCCTCTTAGCATCACTTACTGCTGGGAGCTCAGCCGCTACTTTGTGAATCTCCGTCCTACTCCCCAGCTTGAGGGAGCCACAAGAGACAGGTGGAAACCCACCAAGTAAGAGATGAGAGTGTTTCTGTCCAAGCTGGAAAGGAAAGCTGCTTCCTATGGAAGACTGTTCATGTAGTGGTTAAGTGCACTGTTTGGTGTAGTGGTTAAGTGCATGGACTCTAATCTGGGAGAACCGGGTTTGATTCCCCACTCCTCCACTTGCACCTGGCTGGATGACCTTGGGCAAGCCATAGTTCTGATAAGAGCTGTTCTTGAAAAAAGAGCAGTTTCTGTCAAGAGCTCTCTCAGCCCCACCTACCTCACAGGGTGTCTGTTGCTGGGAGCTCAGCCGCTACTTTGTGAATCTCCGTCCTACTCCCCAGCTTGAGGGAGCCACAAGAGACAGGTGGAAACCCACCAAGTAAGAGATGAGAGTGTTTCTGTCCAAGCTGGAAAGGAAAGCTGCTTCCTATGGAAGACTGTTCATCCTAACGGGCCTAAAGTGTACATTAAACCTTCCTGAAAACCAAAGAGCCTTTTCTATAGTTGGTTCCAGAGGCACCAAGCTGGACCGGAATGCAAAGGCAAGTATTCTGACCCGAGCTGCGAAGGACCCATCCGATCACAAGCCGCAGGGGTGGCCTTCTGGACTACCGCACTGTATCCTGGCAACCCGGCCCTGCAGCGTCCTTAGCAGGGAAAACGCAGGACGGGAACGTCTCTCTGCATTGCTTGCGGCAATTAGCAGCTTCGGCAAGCAAATTAGGTTTTATATTAGATTCTGTGGAAGTCACTCGATTCAATTTGTGCCTGAACTTTGCAGATAATTGAATTAGGACCTCTGCGAACCTCAGCATCCCTGCGGGGATGAGTGGGGGCCCCCGTCGCCAGGTGGGTGGGCACTGAGCTAGTTCTGTTCTCACCCCAAAATCTGCATGGCGTGGAGACATGAACCGGCGCAGACCCCTTTACTCAATACCAAAGGATGCAAACTGGCCTGCACCACAGATGTGGTTTAAAGATGCTAAGATGGTTTGTGCAGGTCTGGATCCATGGTCAGAAGTCCCACCGGGCTGCTGATTGCAACAATCAACTAAACCACTTAGGGAGGACTGTCAGCCACATTCAATCGAGGTTTTTAGATGACTGCTGAAAACTTTTTTTTTTATGTTCCAGCAGGCCTTCGGGAAATCCATCTTGTTAACGATTTTGCATGTTGCTTTGGTGACTGCGTAGGTAATTGTGGTGCTCTTTTTCAGCTTTTTGAAACCGGCTGCATGAGTTATTTTAATGGTGAGCCCAAAAGTGTAAAAACAAATAATGTCCATTCTTCATGATGCTTCACACCCCAGGGTAGCACTCTGGGTGCATTCAACAAGAATCCTTCTCAGGAGCTAAGCAAAGCATGAAAGGAGGGGGCCAGATGGTCAGTTATTGTGATTTTATGAAGGCCCCTGACTGTGAATGATTAAAACACCCGTGACTTCCTGCCAAAGATGGGATGTTTAGAATCAGGATTCAACCCTTCTTAACTCTGCCACACTTTCACAGGCACAGATATGAAGAGCTTGTAGGTAGTAATCGTGGGGGGGGACGGGGACACAGACTCAGGTGAGTAGCCAGTCCAATGTTCCCTCTAAGCTGAGTTAGTGTGAGCTAGCTCACGGTTTTTGAGCCTCTGGCTCACACATTTTTGTCTTCGCTCAGGAAGGATGGTTCCAGAGCTAACCAAGTTATGCAACAGCCAAGTCACCTGCTCACAACTTTAATGCCAGTAGCTCACAAAGTAGAATTTTTGCTCACAAGACTCTATAGCTTAGAGGGAACATTGATAGCCACGTTGGTCTGAAGCAACAGAACAAAGTTTGAATCCAGTGGCACTTTTAAGGCCAACCGAGTTTACAAACCCACAAGGAGCCCTCACCAGAGCTGAAATTTTGGGGCACCAGCCACACCCCACTCAGACCACATGTCAAGCATGTAGCTTAACGCTAGAAGAGCCTCACTAACTCTAAAGTTTGGTGTAGTGGTTAAGTGCGCGGACTCTAATCTGGGAGAACCGGGTTTGATTCCCCACTCCTCCACTTGCACCTGCTGATGTGACCTTGGGTCAGTCACAAGCTGTGGCACAGCTGTCCTTGAAAAAAGAGCAGTTTCTGCCAGAGCTCTCTCAGCCCCACCCACCTCACAGGGTGTCTGTTGTGGGGAGGGGAAGGGAAAGGAGTTTGTAAGCCGCTCTGAGACTCCTCTGGGTAGTGAAGGGCAGGGTATAAATCCAATCTCTTCTTCTTCTGAAGATGGTGCAGCAACGGACTTTGGGTAAAGCGTAAAGCAACTGTCCTGTGTGTAAAGTGCCATCAAGCCGCAGCCGACTTATGCCGACCCTGCAGGGTTTTCAAGGCAAGAGAGGGTCAGAGATGGTTTCTGCCACGGCCTCCTGCACAGAGGAGACCCTGGACTCCCGTAGGGGTTTCCCATTCCAATGTTAACCTGGGCCACCCCTGCTCAGCTGCCAAGACCTGACGAGATCAGGCTAGCCTGGCCCATCCAGGTCAGCTGCCCCGAGAGGCTGTGAAATCTTCCTTTGAAGGTGTCCAGAAAACTGGGACCAGGATTTCCTATACTGGGAGAGGGGGGCTGCAGCACATAACCCACTGCCCCCCCGTTCAGCTAGGGTTAATTATATACAGGTGGCTATTCCCTGCTTAGATGCTATGAGAACCAGCTTAGTGTAATGGTTAAGAGCGGCAGACTCTAATCTGGGAGAACCGGGTCTGATTCCCCACTCCTCCACATGCAGCTGCTGGTGTGACCTTGGGTCGGTCATAAGTTTTTTCAGAGCTGTTCTCTCAAGGGCAGTTCTCGGGAGAGCTCTCTCAGTCCCACCTACCCCACACAGGGTGTCTTTTGTGTGGAGGGGAAGGGAAAGGAGATTGTAAGCCGCTCTGAGACTCCTTCAGGTAGTGAAGGGTGGGGTATAAATCCAATCCCCTCCTCCTCCCCACTGACAGCGCTGTTTTCTCCATCCCATTCCCCTGTTGTGGCCATTCCTTCTTGCCACCAGAGAGCCTTTTTGTTTTAATCAGCAACTGACATATCATTATAGTGTTATAACAATCTGTCCGTCAGCTTCTCTGAATTCCCAACTTTCATTAGCGTTTAAAGTAAGTCCCTTTCATTATATATAGCTCTGCAACAATAAGGTCCAGAAACTTTAGGTATGGCAACCACAAAGGCTGCCAATTTTTTCCTAGCAGGGCTCCAGGGCCTTTCATGGGTACACAGCGAGCAGAAATCCAGAAAGTCAAGTTTCTTTCACGTGTATGCCAGGAAAAAAGGCGTGTTGATCTGCTGATTGCTGGGTAGCGCTTATAGGCAGAGGAGCCCCGCCAGAAAAGAGTCGGCAACTCTGCCTTCCCAAATCCATCACTCTGGCTCTGAAGCTACTGCCTGATCGTGTGTGGAGTCTTACCTTTCTTGCTGTTTTTCTCCCAGGTTGTCTGGAGAATAAGGTTTGGGGACGAGGGACTGGCCGCCTTCCCTTGCCGTAACGCTCCCCGGATTTTGGCATGATCTATCCTCAGATTCTGGCCGCAGAGAGGGATCAGCCTCTGGTCACCTGGCCGTGCCACTTCCATGCTTGGCAGGCTGGGGCTGGAAAGGTGTGGCAGGGGAGCACTGCAGAAGGTTTTCAGGTCCTTTGCAGGAAGGTCCACGTAGAGAGTTCCGGACAAGCTGCTGCTGCTGCTGCTGTCAGGCACCAGTGGAACAGCCTGGACGTGGGATCCTTGGCTCTGCCTGTCGAAGGACACAGCTGCACAAGGGGAGTGGAACGCACAAGGTCAGAGCCAACACGCACAGCATCCCTGCCCGTGACAACCACTGTGCTTCCCCCCCCCTTTCCATCCCAGCGGGTTGCACGGTGTGTCAAGCAAAAGAGCAGCATCTGTTTGGGAAAAACGCCATGAGCCAGGGCTTGATGTCAGGATACCCTGAGGTGGGACAGCTGCTCGGGCCTGGGACCTCTGGCACAGGGCCCACTGCCACTGCCACACTCCTCCACGGGCCTCTCCTGCTGCTCACCTGCCCCTTCTTCCCCCCCACCCACTTGCTTGAAAGCACTCTGCCTCCCATGTTCCCAGCCATATGCAATGCCCAGAATCGTCAGGGACAGATGCCCCATCCAAGTACTACCAAGGTGGGGAAAGGATGCACGGGCATGTGGTTTGGTGGTTGGGAATGGAGGCAGGAACAGGGGGCCTGGTGGTGGGCAGGAGACATGGGTACTGTCTGTCTAGGGTCCCCCACGATCTGCAACTGGCCCTGGCATGAGTCCCAGCAGGGGGCTCCAGGCCAGCTCCTGGAGTCTTCTGGTGCATGCGCCGTGATGGCATCACTCAGAAGCGCCAGGCACATCATGCGGGGGACACTCTAGCATTTGGGTAAAAAACTCTATGGTCACCATAGAGTTTTTACTCGAATGCTAGAGCATCCTCCACACGATGTGCCTGGCACAGTGACATCACCTCCAGGTGACGGCATCATGGTGGGCACGTCGGGTGCGATGGGGCTCTTTGGGGACAGGGCTTCCCCTGCTGGGCAGGTGGCCGGTCCCACCCCCATGGCAACCCTAGGCATGAGTGGGTACCTCCGTTCCGACTCCAATGGGAGCTTTTCCCATTCTTGTTCCTCCCACTCTTTGGAATGGGCTCCCAGAAGTGATCCAGAAGACTCCATTCCTCCCAGATTTAAGACGGTCTGGATGTTTGAGGTTTAATGGATGTTTTAGGGCTCTCTATTGCAGGCAAACTTCATTTATGGGCTCAGTGTGTGAAATAGTCTTTGTAGCTTGCTGTACACACTTGGTTTTTATTTGGGGTATTATAAGCTGCATCCTGACCTGGAGGGCCCGCCCCAGGCTGGCCAGATCTTGGAAGCGAAGCAGGGTCAGCCCTGGTTAGTACTTGGGTGGGAGACCAACAAGGAAGTCCAGGGTCATGATGCAGAGGCAGGCAACCGGAAACCACCTCTGTTCACCTCTTGCCTTTGGCTGCATCTTGACGGCACTTCCCACCCCCATCATAAGCCGCACTGAGTTATCTGGGAGGGCAGGCGTGACAGAGAGACAGAGGGGTGTGTGTGAAAGGGTTTGGCCCCGCCGTCAGCAGGCGAGACTTACTCGATTTGTGGAAGTCTTTGGGCTCAGTCCACAGGAGTTGGCTGCTGAGGCTGCTGCTGGTGCTGTAATTCTTGGAGCCAGGGGTGGACTTCCAAGTGTTGGAAAGCCAGGGGGAATCACTTGGGTCTACCCTACAGTGAAGGAGACAGCAGTCATGGGAGGAGGGAGGAAGGATTGGAAAGGCAGGCAGAAAAGAGTGAAAGTCAGTGATTCACACATTACAGGGTGGGTCTGGGGTCCCCCTCCCTGTGCGAGATGTAACACAGTCAGTAATGAATTGCGGGTCCTCCTCATTTCCCACCTGTGTGGTGCCTGATTCAGATCAGGACCATGGTGCTGGTAGGGATGGAGCTTCAGTTTCCTCCCCTGCACCATTTTCAGGCACTTGAAAGGATCCCAAGGAAGGGAAGGTGATAGTTGGCCTCCTGAGGAAACCTGTGTGCCTCCCAGGGAACTTGTGGCTTTCTTGAAACAGCACCCTCCCTGGACGGTTTCAGGTCAGGAAAATGGAAAGGGTGGATGGATGAAGCCCCTCTCCACATGCACCGTGGTTCTGATCTGAATTGGGCACCACAGGTACAGGAACTGAGGAGAACTGGCAGAGTGGGGACCCCAGATGCAATGAGTGGACTGCATAATATCTCAATAGAAGTCCAGTTCCTGCATAAGCATTGCCATTCAAGCCTGGCATTTGCACACAGACGATTTGCAAGCCACAGAAGCGTGTGGCACTTCCTCAGTGTCTCAGAGCCCTCTGCATTTGACAACCAGGCAGAGTAGACACCCCATAACATGTATGGGACCTTTCTAGCTCAGAAAGATACCCAGAGGTGGTAGAAGAAGGAGGAGGAGAATGAGAAGTTGAATTTATACCCCACCCTTCACTCTGAGTCTCACAGCAGCTTACCATCTCCTTCCCTTCCTCTCCACACAACAGACATTATGAGGTAGGTGGGGCTGAGAGAGCTCTGAGAGTACATCTCTTGAGAGAACAGCTCTGAAAGCACTGTGACTGACCCAAGGTCACCCAGCTGGCTGCATTTGGAGGAGTGGGGAATCAAACCCGGTTCCCCAGATGAGAGTCTACCCCTCTTAACCACTACACTAAACTGGCCTTATCCCTAGAGTCCCAGCAGCTACAACTTACCTGTGTTTGATGATGGTGTCGGCACTTGCATTCCTGTACAAACCTGAAGAGAATGAGGAGTGAGACGTTACAGTGAGCCACACCAGTTGGCAATTCATTTCCTGAACTGTGTGTTTAGCACAAGGCCTCTCCTTAGGGGCCAGACTAGAAGTTAGGCATACAGGCATACGACGTTGCCCTTAAGATTCTTTCTAAACAGAAAAGGCCACTTCTGGTAAGTCGGTCAGGATCAGAAAAGCCAACAGAGTGGTGGCACTTAAGCCGTCTTCTTGCCACCTGCTCTTTCCCCACTCCAAGCCATCACTGTCTAACCATCTCTAGCCATTGTGGGGTCCCAAATGGAACCCCCTTTTGGAAAATACCCTCCTCCTGCCCATGAAGCCCTCAGAGGGGCTGGATCCCTACTTTCTTGAGCCAGGAAGCACCAGGCTGAAAAAGAGGGGCTGCTGAGCACTGTGCTGGATTTGTCTTCATGGTTCAAGGGCGACTTCCATTGCTGCACCCTCCCTTCTCCCACAGGGCACTTTCTGGCAGGATCAGTGGGGTGCAGGATCAGCCCCAGATGAATAGTCACCTCTGGAGGGGGGGGTGTCCTTGGTCCCACCCCTCCATTTTTCATTTTTGGAATCTCCTGTTTTAGTTCATTCCATTATTTGGATGCAAGATTTTGCGTGCGAGATTTATCTCTGTCAAATGAAGATGATAAACGTGCACACTAGGATCTATAAATCTGTAATTTATTTATATCCCACCGAAGCAAATAAAAAGAAATCTTTGTCCTCTATGCTTATAGCAGATTTTTAATTCTGAAAATAATTGAACTGAGAAATTGAACTGTGTATCCACATTGGGTATACCGGTAAAAACTAATGTCACAGTAAGTGTTGTCAGCATTACAAGTCAAGAAGAAATCTCTGAGGACAGCCTGTGATACCCCACTCATGCTCTGAATCCCTGAGGACATCCCCCCCTCCCCGGTCACCTGCCCCCTACATCTGGAGTGGATGGGTAGTTGTAAATGTCAGCTGTCCCTGCCAGTTCTCCTCCCACAACCCTGCCAAGGTTGCCAAGTCGTTTCTCAGCCGCAGCGGGGGACTCCCGGGTGGCAACTGGCGCGTGTGCGTGCAGCGCACACACGTCACCAGGAAGTGACGTTAGGACGCCGGGCATGCTGGGGGCGGGGCCACGACCATCGGAGGGAAAACTCTATGGTTTTCAGTTTTCCCCGCCCCCCGGGGGGACTTGGCAAGCCTAAACCCTGCGCATGATTCAAGTTCCCCCACCACAGCTTAAAGGATCCTTTGGGGGACAGGGGAGAGACAGGGACCTCAAGAGGTATGTGTGCTGAGTCCTTTGGGGAAGGGCAGAATTCCATCTATAGCTTGAGACACACTCATAACCCATGAAATGAATTTTGTAGGACACCACTTCTTATATATATCATTATATCTATATATCTATCTATGTGTGTACAGTGGAGGGGAGGGAGGGGGGGCAGGCTGAGTCATGCAGACTATCTGGAACATCCCCACAAGTCCATTTTCCTACAAAAGGCCACAAAATATCAAGCCACATGAGACACTGAGAGCTCCATATCCCAAACTTCTTGCATATGTGAGGATCCTAGCATTTCAAGGAGGAGGGTCTTTAAATAGTCAATTCCAGATCCTCAGTTAAAGGGATCAGGTAGAAGGTGATGAGAAAAACCATGACCTGAGCTCCAGGAGAGCTGCTGCCAGTCTGTGTAAATACTGACCTTGATGGATTGGTGGCTCGATTCAGTATAAGGCAGCTTTGTGTGTAAATAGCAGGCTTTGCTTTGAATTTGGAAGTAAGGTAAAGGTAAAGGTTCCCTTGCTCGAAAGCCAGTCGAATCCGACTCTAGTGTTGCGGTGCTCACCTCCGTTTCAAAGCCGAAGAGCCAGCGCTGTCCGAAGACGTTTCCGAGGTCATGTGGCCGGCATGACTAAACACCAAGGTGCACAGAACGCTGTTACCTTCCCACTGAAGTGGTACCTATTTATCTAGGAAGCGAGACAGCGGGAGGAGGCTTTCTTACGCGCCCCCCACCCGCTTCTCTTGCCCACCTGGGAAGCCGGATGGACGGGAGGATCTTCTGCGGCTCCTCCTGCCTCCCCCCTTCTTTCTTCCTCTCTCTCCCCCCTTTCTCTCTCTCTCTCTCTTTCTCCTTCCTTCGTGTCTCTCTCTCTTTCTAGGGGTCTAGGGGCCCGTTGTCTCAACGGGCTTTGCTCCCTAGTTCTCACATATTCCCAAATACCAATATCGATTCAGGTAAATAGTTGGGAAACACAAATTTATTTGGCTCCATTATACCATATGGGGACCAACCCCATAGGGTAAAACGGAGAAGGGATTTAAGCTTTAAATGCTTGCTGAGTTCACTTGCTGAGTCATGCCGCTGCCTCGGCACAACTCTGCGAGTGAATTCAGCAAGCATGTAAAGAGATCACAATCTCTTTAAATGCCTTCTAGCCACACCCAAATAAAAGCCAAATAATACCAGCTTTTATTCAGGTATGACTATATCAGTAGCCGAATACAGATCTCTGATCTGTATTTGGCTGAATAAATACCCAAAAAATACAGACGAGGTATTTTTCAGGTATTTACTGGTCTCAGTATATACAGAGCACACACCCTTATTTGGAAACATGGCATTAAAGAAGGGAGGGTTTGAGCCATTCTTCCTGCACTGTCTTCCTGATTTACACATCCCTGCTTAAACCCCACCCCCTTCCTAGTCTTAATCAGGCTTCTACAAAAGTGTGATTTAAAGAAAAGAAATGTTGGGAGTTCCACTCATGGAACTCTTAGTGTCATGATTGGTTTGGTCTGGACATAGCACTCCAGCACACCTTCTGTATAAGCCTAAAGTCAGACCCGATCCCCTGGAATTACACCTCATCTCCAGACTACAGAGATCAGTTCACCTGGAGAAAAAGGCTGCTTTGGAGTGTGGACTCTATGGCATTGTACCCCACTGAGGTCCCCCTCTTCCCCAGGCTCTGTCCCCAAATCTCCAGGAGTTTCCCAACCTGGATCTGGCAACCCTACCCCCCCCCATCCCCTGCCAGGGGCCAGGGTGGATCTGGTAACCCAAATTCAAATACAGCCTACCCCACCTTCGCTGAGACCATAGTGCCGTCTCTTGCTATGCAGCCGGGCTTGTTGCTGACAAACGTAAATGGCCAGCACCATTAGCATGATCCAGAGAGCGGATCCCACACTGGCAATGAAGACAGGCTGGCGCATCACTTCCAGGATGTAGTTAGCAGACAGGAAGTCAGGAATCGTTGCCATTTTCCCCACTGTAGGTTCTGGGGAGAGAGAAGGAAAATAATAAAAGTGTCCCATCGACAGTGAAAACTAGGCAGAAGATTGGACTCTGACTACAGTTGACAGAAGCCATGGACTTCTATGTTGGCCTTTGAGGGGGATAAGCAGCAGATTTTGCACACAGAAGGTCCCATGTTCAGACTGTGGCATTTAAAGGCCCTCTGGTTGCAGGGTTTTATAACTTGATGCAGGCAAGGAGGCAACACAAGGCGGATATATAACATGTTGCAAGTGGAGGACTGTACACTGTCTCCTTCCTCAGACTTCAGAGAAGGCACCATAGATTTAGAGATAGATAGAGAGGTCAGATACAGAGCATCCTTTCCCTCCTGCTATCTGATACTATCCCTTTGAAGTAGAATGCTATTCTTAGGGACAAGACCTTCCTTCCAGCTTAACCTCTCTCTCCCACACACAAAGAAGAAGCATGCTCTCCATCTTTGGCACCATGGATGCAGGCCATGCATTCTGCATCTGCATCCATCAAAGCTAGTTAGATTATATTCTATCCCTATCTCTCACCTACACTATCTAGAATGAAGTTCCCTAAATAAAGAACTCTTATTAGTTTGAAACTGACAAAAGGCTCCATGCTAATTTGTACCTTTGCTAGCACACACGGTACTGAGAAGCTGCTGCATTGTGTACGCCTAGTGCACCCTGTTACGTAATCGAGATTCCTGGCCATACCATACCAGTCTAACATCACACACAGTTTCATTTGCCTGTCCTTTTTACAGCACATGCTCTGCTTTCTTCTCCATGCTTCTGCCTCCGTCTGCTCTGCTTTCTCTTTCAATATAGTGGGGTCTAGCCAGCCCAGCCACGGACTACAGATTCCCTAATGGGACAAACCTCTCAACACCAATAATAAAATGAACTCCAGCTATGCTAGAATCAGAGTTGCCGTTTGCCTGATTCCGGCAGGGGATCTCCTGCTGGTGCACCCTGTCCCCCTATTGGTGCTCAACAGGGCAGTAGGGGGAAATGGCGGGGAGGGAAATGGCATCACACAAAAAACTGTGCAAGCAGCTGAAAAAAAACAGAAGTGAAATCCCACAACGCCCTAGAAATCCCCCCCCAATCACTATGGTTCTTACCACTGAGAGTGGGAGAATACCTAGAGCAATGTGGGACACAGTGACGTCACTTCCAATTTTTCAGCTGCAGATGATGTTGCAGCATTCCGTGTGACACAGTTCCTGTATGTTTCTGCCCTTGCCCCAGCCCTCCCACTGGTTACTAGAAAAAGGCCGGAAAGCCTAGCTGCAGAACAGAAACTGAAGGTCTGGCTTTGTCCAAAGCATCTTCCTACATCATTCTTCAGGTCCAGTCAATCCATAGCTTTGCATATCCTTCATTCATCCCCCTCCCTTCTGAATTCACCACCTGGAGAGCCCAAATCTTCTACAATGACCTTACAGAGATGAAAATCCGTATGTACAGAAGAGGAACAAGCAGAGGTGTGCTGGCCCTACCCCACGCCCATGCACAGTCACTGACTCCTGAGCATGGAGTCTAGGCAAATGGGAAATGTTCCCATGTAGGCTCTTGTCCTTGTGATGGGTAATCCTCCCAATCCCAGGAAAAGAACCTATGATCATACACTACATGCATAGATTCTGTGCTCACAAGCCAGTGATAACACATAGGCAGGAGGTGGGGCTAGAGCACTCATGCCTGTTCTCCCTCTACTATATGGTGATTTCGATTTGCATAATATTGTATGGCAAGGGCTCCATGGGTTTTGAACAAATGGTCTGTGTGTCTGCATGGATTCCTCCACCCTAGGAACAGTCAACGTGGGGAAGCTCTGTGTCCCAGACAGTGGTCCAGAGACTTCCTGCCTCGCTCTTCAGCCCCTCATAGCTAGTCATGCTCTGTGACAAAGTCACTGTTACTTGTCAGAGCCAGCTTCACAGTTAGGGAGACAGGAGTGCCTGCCGTGACATACAAGGCCCAAAGGGTGATGTAACATTACTGTATGGAATATCACACCTGTTTCTTTTACAAATGGAACTACAAGCGAAACTGTTCCCTTTCCAATTTAGTAGGGTTGCAAGGGGAAGACAGATAAAATTGGTTTGGGAGCTACATCTGGCCCATGGCTACTGGGCAACCCTTCTGTACAGTTTACACAAGCAGGGCATAACTAAAAGGTAAAGGTAAAGGTTTCCCTTGCTCGAAAGCCAGTCGAATCCGACTCTAGGGGTGCGGTACTCATCTCCATTTCAAAGCCGAAGAGCCAGCGCTGTCCGAAGACATTTCCATGGTCATGTGGCCGGCATGACTAAACACCAAGGCACACAGAACGCTGTTACCTTCCCACCTATTTATCTACTTGTAATTTCTTGCTTTCTAACTGCTAGGTTGGCAGGAGCTGGAACTAGAGAAAGGAGCTCACTCCATCATGCGGCACACTCGGGTCTAGAACTGCTGAACTACCAACCTTCCACAGCCTGTGGTTCAGCGTCTTAACCACTTGAGCCACCGCAGCTCCTAGGACATAACCAATCTAAAACTGGTTTAACTGTCTTGGCTTGTTCCCCAGTTCTAGGGGACTGTCATTTTTGTGAAGGCCGTGTTTTCTGAGACAGACCCCTAGTTCTTTGACAAAACTAAAATGCCTGTGAGTTTGGATGGCTAAATTGATTTGATAGTGGTTTTCAATTTGGTAATAAGGACCACTGCAGGCCCCCTAACACAAATTCAATAGCAGGCTCCTGCTTGTGACATGCAGGACATCTCAGGACAGGCCACAGCGGGTATTTCTTATTCCCATGGTTGAGCCTCACAAAAGGCCCAACCCCGAGCACAGTATAATTTTCCAAGAGGTTAAGTGCAGAATAGCATCTCTCACCTAGGGTGCTGCATACAGGGTTACTGGCCATTCCGACTCCTGCTCCATTTATGGCTGCTACCCGGACGCAATATTTTAGCCAGTGGCCCAGACCTGTAGCTTCTAGATTATGCGTTCCTCCATCTACTGTCCTATTAGAGCCTCCATGTGTCTCGTTACCCAGGAACCAGACCTGAAAGGACAAAGAGAGTCTGTATGGCAAGCCAGTCTTTCTACACGACATTAGCACAGGTGGGACTGACCAGGTACAACCTGTGCAGCCACACAGCTTGAGAAGCCACGGAGGCGGAGCTAACAAAACCCACCCAATCGCAGAAATGCAATGTGAGTTCACCTCCTGTGTATGTATACCACAACACAGTGGATTACCAAGGAAAACAGAACAAAATTAACCACATTTTTTAAAATATGAAACTAATCACGTTTTTTACCATGTGATCTTTCTTTTAGGATTTGGGGGCAGAATATATAGTTCCTCCCTTTGCTTTAGGCTGAAAAAGTGAATGTCCAAGGTGAGTTTCATGGCTCATTAAAGTTTTGAAAATGGCTTTTTCCCTGCTCCCAGTCTAACACACTACACGTTAACACTACACTGGGTTAATCTGAAATGCTAAGAAGGTGACATCTTCAAGGACCTCCAGTGGCCATCAGCCAAAGCATTGGGACCACACAGTTTTTAGTGTGCACACTCCCTGTAAGGTTCTTCTCCTACCAGTTACGGTGTTGAACCTCCAGTCATCAGTTCTTGAGGCTCCTCCAATATTCCAAACCAAGTCTTCCAAATGTTAAGCTCCCCAATGCCTTCTATCATTCCTCCTTACCTGGTAACCCTTAATAATACCGTTGTGTGCATCCTGCGGTGGAGGCTCCCAGGAGACTATCACAGTGCCATTCCCACCTTGTGACACGGTAATGCTGATGCTCTGAGGAGCGGCACTGGGTGCTGAGAAGAAAGGAGAGGTCTACTTAAAGGCTTGGAGGAGAAAGGGCAGCGCCTGACCAATATGACCAACAGTTTACCTATCAGGAAAACACACAGGTATTTGCCACTAAGGGGTGTGGAATGGTATGGTATAGCCCAATCTTGGCTATAAGCAGGGCTGGATCTAGGGATGGGCATGAACTGGAAAAATGCAGTTCAGGTTCGTGGCCAAACCACAAACCAAATCGAAGCAGGAGGTTCGTTCGTGAATTGAACTGGTTTATGGCCCTGCAAACACCATTGAAAGGGACCACAGTCCCTTTCAATGGGGGTTTGCTGAAAGCCCGAAAAACAGCTGAGATGCAGGGAGCAGGCTCCCCACCACTCAGCTGTTTTTCAAGCTTTCTTGTGCATTCCCTTTAAAGTTTAAAGAGACTGAACAAGACAGCCCCAAACAGCTGAGCGGTAAGAAGCAGACTGCTCCCTGCCACTCAGCTGTTTTTGTGGCTTTCATGGAAAACAGAAAGCAGGGGTTTTCTGCTCTGCCCATGAACTGCCATGAACCCCTGCTTTCTGCTCTATCCATGAATCCATGAACTGCCATGAAGCCCTGCTTTCTGCTCTATCCATGAACTGCTACGAGCTGCTTTAAGTTTGTGGATGTTCGTGATGGTAGACCCGTCACGACCTTTGGTGTGCGAACCACAAGCAGGGCAAAATTTGTGACGAACTTTGCTTTGTGGTTCAGTTCATGCCATCCCTAGTTGGTACTTGGAAGGGAGACCACCAAGGAAGACTCTGCAGAGGACAGCAATGGCAAATCACCTCTGCTTCTCACTTGCCTTGAAAGCCCCTTGCTGGTGTCACCATGATTCAGTTGCAACTTGACAGCACAAACATACATACATATTTGCCTCTAGGCCAAGGATTAAGGTTTATATCTACAGCATAAATTATGATCTCTGTGCATCTGATGTCAGTGCAATGGCTGAGACTTCTCTTCTGGCAAGATTCATACCTCTCTAGGTCCTGCAAGGACCAAGAGCACATAAATATTCTATGAGCCTCCAGGGAATCTCTCCATCATCTCAGAAAAAAACATTCACTGAGCACACACAGGCTGTATCTCTAGGACAGGGAGTGTATCAGAATCTCACAAGGGAGATGGTGGCATACTGGTACCTTCTTCTGGGATCCAGAGATGTCTCGTATTGCTCTCTGAGCCGTGGAAATTCCCTGAATACGGTCGCACTTTGAATTCATACTTGTAGCCTCTCTCAAGAGCTGGAACAATAGCCCGGTGGTCTCTTGGGACATTCCATTCAGCCCAATGTGTGCTCACAGGAAGCAGTGTGCGGTAGAGGACCATGTAACCTTCTATGTGCTGGGCGGTGGGGATGACCTTCAAGACAAAGGACAGAAGTAAATAAAATGACAGTATTGTTAGGAATGAGCAGTTTTCTGGAGGACAAAGAGAGACTGGTGTGATCTTGAGAGACAGATGAAGCCTCTGAGTAGCACAGGAACGACAGGAGGAAAGTGGGAGTGGATGAGCACAAAAGCTGAAGTTTTGCACAAAGGTTAAATTCTGCATATTTTGGCAATCCAATTCTGAACGTGTGATTTTAAGATTTGGATTTTTGAGCGATACTTGTTGCCAGCAACACAGAGCGTTCATTTGCTCCATTAATTTTTAAGTCCCGTTTTTGCTTCTTTAAAAAACAACAACAACCAATCCTTTAAATCTAAAAACACCCACAATCAGGAATTTTGTAAAAAACCAAATTAGAATGCATACACATTCGAATTCTTGCAGTCAAATTTGAGGTAGAAGAATCTACCTGATCATTTTTATCCTCAAGTGCATCTCAGTTCTGAAACACAGTATCAGTGGAAGAAATGACTAGGTCATGACCCTTCTAACAAGCCCGTTGTCCTAATGAACAGGGGTAAACACAACTGATTTCTTCTAGGTAGCTCCTATGAGCAGAATATTTCCAGTTTATGGTTTAAGCATGCTGCTGATTCGTCTCCTTGGTGAGAACTGAGAAATTATATTTAAAGCTAGCCGATTCAACTTAACTCTCTTCCCCAGTCCTCTCCCCCATTTTCTCCATGTTATCTTCTAATATGATCAGCAAATGTACTATTTTATTTATTTATTACATTTATATGCTGCCTTTCTGTTCCACTCATAGAATAGTAAAATGGGATTTAAAATCCTCTTCTGCATCCTCCGGGGACAGCTAACTCTCCCTGGCTTTTGTTCTATGACAGTTTAATAATGCCATTTATATGCTTGTTATGTTTTACTCACTTTCCAGTGCAGGTGGGCTGCAGGAGCCGAGGAAACAGCAGTGACATTTGCCAGGTAAACCCTGATGTCCATCAGCTCCTTCAAGGCACCTTTCGGCCAGTCTTGCTCCCTTTGGCCAGTGTCCAGCAGATCTAAAGACCAGGGGGGGGGGAATCATGAGTCCTTGTCAACTTGGACTTCATCCTACTCAGGGGATGGATAAGGTCTCCCTTTAGGATAGGGGTCCAAAAACTTTTTCAGCCTCCTGGCACCTTTGGAATATTGAAACACTGTGGTGGCCATAAAATGCCTGACGCAAAATGTCTGCCACACGAGGCGAAGACAGCCAGCAAATGGCTGCCGCAGCTGACCTTCACTTACACAGTGAGGATCCTTGTGCTGTGGTGGCAGCTTCTGCCAAAGCAGTGTTTTTAAAAATCTGTACAGCCAATCAAATCTCCAACGACCAATTAGAAGCCTTGCTGGGCAGAAGCCCCACCTGACCCCGCCCACTTTCTGAAACACTTGGTTGGCACCATGGCACCCACAGACACCATGCACTGGGGCTTTTCTCCAGACCAACCAGTGGGATGCTTGAGAAAGCAGACCTTGAGTCCTGATGTAGCTTGAAACTCTGCCTTCCCTGGGGGTTTTCTGACCAGGGACCAATATGGTGGCCAATGGTGTGTATTATGTAACCAGGGAATGAATCCATTCTGCTAGTCTACTAATCCAGCAAACAGACCTACTTACCTTGCACTGTTAAAGATGCCTTGGCAGAGATGGTCCCCACCTGATTGTAGGCGGTACAGGTGTATTTCCCAGCATCGGACATGGTCAGATGGCGAATCTGAAGGGTGTTTTCTTGGCTTATGTCATACCTGAGAGGAGAGGTACAGAATTCATAGCAGCAATTAAAGGCTTTGCGCTTGCTTCTGTGTCGTCCTTGATAACTGTGCAACATCAAGTGATGACCTACATGCATGAAAGAGCAACTGCAAAAGACAATTCTCACTCTTGTACCACAGCAGTGGCTGATTGAACTTCTTACCACACCAGTTCTACCTACCAGTTTGAGAGCGTTGGGTGTAGTGGTTAGGAGCACAGACTCTAATCTGGGAGAACCAGATTTGGTTCCCTACTCCTCCACATGCAGCTACTGGTGTGACCTTGGGTGAGTCATGACTTATTTTAGAGCTGTTCTTTCAGGAGCAGTTCTCCAAAGAGCTCTCTCAGCCCAACCTACCTCACAGAGTGTCTGTTGTGGGGAAGGGAAGGGAAAGGTGATTGTAAACTGCTCTGAGACTCCTTCGGGTAGTGAAGGGTGGGGTATAAAGTCAATCTCTTCTTCTTCTACCCATTCATTTACCAAAGTGGGGTAAGTTTAGATATAGGGAACATAAGAAGAGCTCTGTTGGATCAGACCAGTAGTCCGCTTAGTTCAGCATCCTGTCTCACACAGTGGCCAACCAGTTCCCCTGGAGAGCTAACAACAGGGCATAGAGGACAAGACTTTCTCCTGATGTTGACTCCTGGCTCTAGGATTTAGAGGTTTAGTGCCTCTGAATGTGGAGGTTCCCCTCATTCGCCATGGCTAGTAGACACTGATATATCTATCCTCCATGTATCCACCTTTTAAAGCTGTCTATTCCTGTGGCCATCATTACATCCTCTGGCCGTGTATTCCACATTTTAATCACTCTCTGTGTTATGAAGGGAGACAGGGTGATATTTAAACTCCCATTTTTTAATTTTCCGTTCCTTCAAGGTTGTTAGTTAATTGTTGCCCAAATGTTATTTTTTCCTTTTTGTAACCAACAGTTGCATATACAACTGTGTTTCCCCCCTGAAAAGTTGGTGTTCTTTTCCATCTTTGCAGATATAGCTTAAAATTGGCTCATGCGTATCAAGATACAGAGAGAAAGCCGGGAGCCACCTGGTTAGCTCTGATAGTCTCTCAAAAGTAAGATTTTGAAGAACATAAGAGAAGCCATGTTGGATCAGGCCAATGGCCCATTCAGTCCAACACTCTTGTGTCACACAGTGGCCAAAACTCAGGGACCATCAGGAGGTCCGCCTGTTTGTAATCAGACCCCTCCTCCCACAGAAGGAGTTCTTTTGATAAATGAAATGCCCTTCCCTTTAATATGGAATATGATTTACAGTTGCCAACTTTAAGCTGTCCTCTAACTGTTCCTTTAATTCCACTTTGATCAGCAGTAATTACCAAGTGACACTATTTAACTTCATGTCATCAAAAGCTTCAACTATGGAAAGCTGAAGAATGGCTAAACAGAATGGCCAGATTAACAAATTATATATATAAAAGACCAGTCAAAGAATTTGGAAAAAAAATGGGGAAATTATTATGCATATTATAAGTAAAGATGAAAAATGAGTGATTTGTATTAAAGCTAATGGAATGTTGTTTTTTGGATTCATCAATATAACAATGGCTTAGCCACTAATACAACGAAGGTTGTTACAGATAATATTATAATGGTGCAAGTATTATAAGTATTTTCTGAAATAATGTTATGCACAAGACCATAAAATCAAATTTTTATGTATATATGCACCTATCTTATAGTTATACTGAAATGCTCTTAAAATGTATTATTTGACTTTTTAGTATAGTTCATGACAATTGCAGTAGTATTAAGATGTAACGGAACACACTATAATGTAACATTTAATATCTAGCAGTCAATATTAATAGTAACTAATGGTATTCTAGGCTTTAATGATAAGAATATATGACATTTTAATATTATATATGTGTATTTTAAATGTCTATGTCAAATGTTCTATATTTACTCTGATGCTGATCATCCTTGTAATGAATAAGTTAAGAATTTGTATAACATTTATATTTCCCTGTTCCCCCCCCATCCCTATCTTAATTCAAAGTAAGCAAATTAAAGGGGGGGAGCTTTAACTACCTGTTTCTGCATATTAAACGTCTATTAAAGGGACTGGACATTTTTCCCCTGGAGAGCTGGCAACCCTAATTAGGAGAAGTTGTTTTTAATTTGGAGAAATGTTTCTCAAATGACTGGAGGAAAAGGTCTGGCTGCTGGTCACAAAACAGAGATACCTCTACCAGTTGATCTGTTTGATAGTGAAGAATTAAAACCGAAGGGGTAACTTCATTACAGCCGAGTATCTGGACTGGCTCTGTAAATTCCACATTCCCCACGGTAAAAACAGCTACCTGTGTTTTCGATTTTACCATAAAATACTTTCAGAGAATCTAGACCCAACAACTTGCTAAACCTCCTCCATCAGCACAGCTTAATTAGGCCTTTCCACAATGACTGAACAGGGAACTTCAGATGAGGAACCTGAGAAGAGGCCGTTGTACCTGAGAGAGGCTTTGATCCCAGTGGCCTGACTGGTGGTAGCCACACAACCTCAAGGAGTGGGGAGCAATGCACTCAACATGGCTAGAGACAAGTGAATAAACTCTCCAATTCTGGATTTACAGGCCAGGACACAATGCAGACAGAATATAAGCCTGCAGTACAACTAGTATACTCACCTTTCTGAGGGAAGCTCTCCATACTCCTTGTGCCACTGGACAGTGGGCACTGGGTCTCCATGGACTGCACACATGAAGTGAATGGTGCTTCCAAGTTTGGCCACAATGTCACTAGGTCTCCGAGTGAACACTGGCTTCTCTAGAAAGGACGAAGCAGACGATGTATTCAAATATGATCATTCCTCAGTGTGATGGAAACTTTGGACAGCATGCCTAAGAGATTCCATATTGTGTGTTATACCCTGACCTGGATAGCCCAGGCTAGCCCAATCTCATCAGATCTCAGAAGCTAAGCAAGGGTTGGCCTTGGTTAGTATTTGGATGGGAGACTGCCAAGAAATACCAGGGCTGCTATCCAGAGGCAGGTAATGGCAAACCACCTCTGAAAATCTCGCCTTGAAAACACTATGGGGTCATCATAAGTCAGCTGTGGAAAAAAAAGTCAGCTGTGACTTGGCAACAAAACAAAACTTATGTGTTATGGACTCTGAGCATCACCATCTGTCACCATCACCACTTGCATACAAGCTGACTCACCTCCTCCCACATCTGCATCCCCTTTCTCATACTTTCCAACCCTGGATCCAGTAAAATAGGTATAATTACTTCAAATCCAGTTAAATAAAAGAAACTCATTAGAGGTGAATAACCTCAATGATGTAGCCCTTTTGACCAAGGATTGATAGTAAGCCTCACTTCCAAGGACCTCTGTTACATGATTTGTTGATGGCCATAGATGTAGATGTCTTCAAAGGAGGATAACAGACACACATAAAGGAGCGGTCCATCAGTGGCTAGCCATGGTAGCTCAACAGAACTTCTATGTTCAAAAACAATAGTTACTGAAGGGGCAAACTATGAGGAAGTCCCATAGGTCTTGTGCCCTGTTTGTGGGATTTCTGAAACCACCTGGCTGGACATGGTTGGAAACCAGATGCTGAGCTAAATGGACATTTGGTCTGATCCAGCAGAGATGGAGAGACTCTCTCTCTCTCTCTCTCTCTCTCTCTCTCTCTCTCTCTCTCTCCCCCCATGTCTTTTAAAAAGAAACTTGTGAGATCCAGTTGCTAACTATTGTCTAAGTAAATACAGTTTCAATATTATGTAATAATTAAGTATTCAAGTGAAACAGGTACAAGTGATGGTAAACAGATATCCTTCCTGTTAAACAGACAAAGCTGAAGAATATGTATTTTCTAAATAATCACTTTTTATAGTTAGGAAAAAGCTTGTAGCAGAATGTGGAATGGTATGGTATATAACCCAATCATGTCAGATTGTAGAAGCTTAAGCAGCGTCAGTACTTGGGAGACACTTTGGAAGGCTCTGCAGAGGAAGTCAATGGTCCAATGGTTCAGATCCTCCCAAACCAGTTGACTGGATCCATGCTGAGTGTTAAGCAAATAGTGGGGGAAGAGGAGATGTACAATCACTGCTGAGTTTCTTACCCAAGACAGACACCAAGGCTGCTCTGCTTTCTCTCTCTCCTACTGTATTAGTGGCCAAACAAATATATGCTCCCGAATCACTTTTCAGAGCATGGGCTACCAGAAGGTTTGCACCAGAGACCTGCAGAAACAAGAGTGGAAAGAAGATGTTGGAGCCTTGGATCTTCAATAGGAACTGCTGGAACGTTTCTTAAGGTTTTGGAACAGTATTCCAGGCTTTGATTTGGAAATGGGTAGATTGTAAATGCCGTTATTTTAAATAATGTGTTTGCTTTGCTCAGTTTAAAGGTGTTCTGTATTCTCCATTATAAATAGTAGCTGATTTTCTCATGTAAAATCCTGGGGAGGTGACTTCTTCTGTGGAAGAATGTTCCCTCACCAACACTGGAAAACAGCGGGGAATTTTTTCTTAGGTGACTGCAAAATCTGAACTAGAAAGTCAAATTTTAATTTTTTTTGCTGCTAGTTATTTTATTGTCTTGCATGTTGCAAACCACCTTAGCTATTCTTATATAGACAAACAATAAATAAGTAAATAAATATTTGTGTGACCAAATTTTGGACATCTGGTTGGCCGCAACCAAATTTAACTGAGATTCTCTCACCTATGTCAAAGATGCAATTCTGCATAAAAGGTCCAAAGGTCCATTTAGTCGAGCATCCTGTTTCACACAGTGGCCAACCAATTACCACAGAGGGCCAACAAACAGGGTATAGGGACCAAGACTTTCCTCTGATGTTTCCTCCAAGTACTGGTATTCAAGGGATTACTGCCTTTCAACGTGGAGATTCTCTTTAGTCATCTTGGCTAGTAGCCATTGATGGACCTCCTCCATAAATCTGTCTCACCCCCTTTTAAAAGGCTCCTAAGTAAACTCAGCAGTCATGGGATAAGAGGATGTCATCTTGTGGATTAAAAACTGGTTAATTAACAGGAAAATGGACTGAGTATAAACGGACAGTTTTCACAGTGGAAGGTGGTAAGCAGTGGGGTACTGCAGGGCTCAGTACTAGGTCTGGTGCTTTTTAACTTGTTCATTAATGAACCAGGGAGGACTGTGAGGCGCTCCAGAGGGATCTGTCAAGGCTGGGCGAGTGAATGTCAACATGGAAAATGAGGTTCAATGTGGGCAAGTGCAAAGTAATTTACATTGGAGTCAAAAATCCTAATTATAAATATATGTTGATAGGGTCCAAAGGGCGGTAACTGACCAGGAGAGAGATGTTGGAATCATGGCAGATAATTCACTGAAGATGTCAACTCAGTGTGTGACTCCAATAAAAAAAGGCAAATTATATGATGGGGATTATTAGGAAGGGGATTGAAAACAAATCAGCCAGTATCATAATGCCCCTGTATAAATCAATGGTACGGCCTCATTTGGAATACTGTGTACAGTTCTGGTCACCATACCTCAAAAAAGTTACTATAGCATTGGAAAAGGTGCAGAAAAGGACAACTAAAATGATTAAGGGAATGGAACACCTTCCCTATGAAGAAAGGTTAAAGAGGTTAGGGCTTTTTAGCTTGGAATAATGATGACTGATGGGTGACATGATAGAGATTTACAAAATTATGCATGTGATAGAGAAGGTACAGAAAGAAGTACTTTTCTCCCTTTCTTACAATACAAGAACACTTGGGCACTCAATAAAATTAATGAGTAGTAGGCTTAGAACAACTAAAAGGAAGTATTTCTTCACCCAAAGAGTAATTAACACTTGGAATTCACTGCCACAGGAAGTGGTGGCGGCTACAAATGTAGACAGCTTCAAGAGGGGATTGGATAAACATATGGAGCAGAGGTCCATTAATGACTATTAACCACAATGTTTAGATGGAATGCTATGTCTGGTGCAGTGATGCTCTGTATTCTTGGCGGAGTTCTGGCCCGTTGTTGGACCTCCTGATGGCACCTGGGTTTTGGCCACTGCGTGGCACAGAATATTGGACTGGATGGGCCATTGGCCCAATCCAACATGGCTTCTCTTATGTTCTTATCTATGTTACTGACCCTCACTGCAGCAGTGAATCCCACCATGTAATACTCATTGAGTGAAGAAATATTTATTTTTGTCTGTCCTGAATCTATTTTCCATTAACTTTAATTGCCCAAATATTCAAATACTGCGGAAGAGGGAGAAAAAGATCTCTCTATCCACTTTCCCCCCCATGGATACTTCTATAAATCTCTATCATGTCCTTAGACTTCCTTTTTTCTAAGATGAAAAGTCCTACACTCTTAAGATTTGCTAAGGTGCTTCAACCACTTAATCATCTGGGTTGCCACCCTCTGTACTATCATTGTTGACTTACAGTGACCATTCATGTATATTGGTACTGCCACATCTTTCCTCTATGTCACATCACATTCTGCCTTGAAATAACACGTACACTTTGAATATGCAAAAAATAAATTCTAGTACAGGCTGTCGATTACCTCATAACGTCCACTTTCCTCATTTATGGGGATTCCATTCTTCTTCCATGAGACTTTAGGCTCTGGATGTCCCCGAGGGGGAGTGCATTCTAGCAACAATTGTTCTCCACTGGTCACCACTGAATCACTGGGATGAAGCCGAAAATCTTCCCGCAGAGCTATGAGGAAAAACAAATTGTCAAAAATTCTCTCAAGGGAATTGTTGCCATTTCCCCACAAGTTTCTGGCTAAGTAGCAGAAGTTTGTTCAGGGCTAGTGAGTGAATGAAGAATGTCTTGAGGGACTGAAAGGTTTCCCTCCTACTTTATGAACGCTGCTCATTTTTATGTCTGAACTGTCTACTTATTATCTTGCATAAAGACTGCTATGTTTGTCCTTTGTAGACGGCAGAAGGGCACTGTTGGCAGGGGATGGCATATATCACTCCGGAGGTGGAGCAGGTGAATGAGCCCTTGAAGGTATGTCTGATTGGTTATTAAGTTCCTACGCCTCCATAAAAGCCTGTTTTAAGGTTATTATGCCCCAGTAAATCTGCCAAGTTTTAGAATGTCATGAGACTTTTAGTTGTTTTAACCAGCGCTAAACTTTGAAAGCCTTTGCAATGATTATGCTGCCATTTCAACCCTTCCTTCTTCCAGGGACTCTTCATATCTGCACTAAGGGTAATGTGGCACTTTTAGGGTAGAAATAATCATTATACTTCACAAAGGGATGCTACCAAAAATGGCATTCCGATGTTGGTGTTCTCCATTCCTGTTACAGGTAGAAGTACTTTGTATTCTGACATCATCACATAGTATATTTTCTCACCTCATCGACTGGCTCAGCCAGCGATGGAGGGGAAAACACGTAAGCTACTGATATCATGACACAGAATACGTGATTGTTATGTATTGGGACTGAAACACTGCAGGACTGTGCTCCCAGAGACAGGGTGAGCTTGGAGCCGAATAACAATAGACCAACAGGATTCTGGCAATAACCAATCAAGGTGTAGGACTGTGCTGCCAGAGACAAGGTGAGCTTGGAGCCAAATAACAATAGACCAACAGGATTCTGGCAGTAACCAATTAAGATGTAAAGTTTTGTAAATAGCCTATCGTTGGGAGTGGGGTATGTTGGGGTGTGGCCATTGCATGTAATATAACCGAGCCAAGGCTCTGGTCTACAGTCTTGTTCTTGCTGAAATCACTGATTAAAGTAGAACTGATTACTAGACTTGGAGTCTGTTCATCCATGGAACCCGCTATTTAACAGTGATCCTATACATGTCCATTATCAGGGCACAGGTACTGAACACCAAGGGGTAAAAGGAGTACTGAAGGATGATAGGGAAATGGCTGAGAAGCTAAATGCATTTTTTGCCTCTAGGTCTTCACTGTGGAAGATGAGAGGTGCTTGCCCACTCCAGAACTGCTGATTTCGGGAGGGGTGTTGAAAGACCTGAGTCAGATTGAGGAGATGAGAGAGGAGGTCCTAAAACTGATAGACAACTCAAAAACTGATAAATCACCAGGCCCAGATGGCATACATCCGAGAGTTCTGAAAGAACTCAAATGTGAACTTGTGGATCTCCTTACAATCTTTCCTTAAAATCTGCCTCCATTCCTGAGGACTGGAAGGTAATATCAGATTTAATTTTTAAAAAAGAATGTTTGTGGGCAGTGACCAGCATAAACATCAGAAACTCTGGTGAGCGAGCAAGTGAGTCTGTATGTGCTGCGTTTAGGATTCCCATTGGACAGGAGATCTCATTGCTCTGCATTGCCCTTACCCGTCGACGTGTATCACACCTGCTTTGTAAAAAAAAGCAGCTGCCAATGTGCTTATTCTGCATTGTTTATTCAAGTGATTAATATTAAACCTTTTCTATGGGTAGAATTTGGCTTACCTTAGCACAGAATGTTTGTACATCTATTCATTTATAAAGAACAGAGGACACAGCCTCAGAGAACAACTCAACATAGTAAAAACAAAAAGAGAAAACCAAATGTTATTGATAGACAATCTCCACTACCTCCAAGATTCTGTAAGCAATGCAGGCCAGTTTCCACCATCTCCCTCTTTCCGCACACACCCTTGAACTGATCTTCAGGGCAGCGTGCCACTTCAGGGCAGAGCATGCACAGTCATCAAGAATTTGTTTCTTGTTTGTGCAGGTTAAGGTTGCCAACTCTGGGTTGTGAAATTCCTGGAGATTTGGAGGTGGAGCCTAGAGAGAGTGGCATTGGAGGATGGAAGGGACCTCAGTGAGGTCTAATGCCACAGAGTCCACCCTCCAAAGCCGCCATTTTCTCCAGGGATCTGATCTCTGTTGCCCGGAGATCAACTGTAAACCTAGGAGATCTCTAGGTCCCACCTGGAGACTGACAATCCAGGATCTTTTATGGGTCATATTTTTCTGCATGCCACAAGCAAATTAAAATTAATTAATTACATTAATTAAAATTAAAATGGTGGCCAAGTTTTGCTGCTTTTGCGATTGGCACGAGTCACTACCTTGGCTATTCAATATAGCAGATTATCTGTAAAGACTGAAAATTATATTATGTACAATATACATTCCAATATTTGAGGCAGAGCAGCATCTCAGACTCTGTTTGGTTCTTTGAACATTAATCATCTCTAGGCCTGGATGGAAGGAGACTGAGCAATTGTCCTGACCTTGCTGAGCCTGGGCTAAGTTTTGGAATGCTGGGAACAGGGCGTGGGCACCAGTGGGAGACGGTGGGGAGTGGGGACTTACATTTTCAGTGGTGTGCTGATGCCATGACATTACTTCCAGTACAACCTGGAAGTGATGCCGTTGCAACACGGCACCACTTTAGCTGTCACCCCAAACTCTACAGTCTAACCATAATGCTTGGGATGGATGTTGGTGTCACCCAATGTGACATCACGGTGTTGGTGCAACAATGATTCCCCCTCCGCTCCCCAGCATTTTCTCCCGACTGCCCAACTGAGTGATGACAGGCAGAGCCAGCGGGGGGAGGGGGGAGGGTTTTTTTGCTGAAGCTGCAGACCTAAGTGGCTACCACCCCAAAATGGCTGCCACAGGGGTTGGAAGGGTGAAAGCCGAGCATCTTGCTATGGCAGATGCAGGTGTTTCTGAATGGGTACGCTCGAAGATGACATCGCTTGGGATCCTGAAGTATATCTCCTAGTCCAATACAGAGGAGGCTCTTGCAGGTTCTTGGCTGTGGGGAAGAAAGCGATTGGGCAGCTTGGCATTCTCAGGCACCCCACTGGAGATCACAGGGATAGATTGTCCCCCCCACCATTCTGAACCCAGAGACCAACATCTTGGGAATGGGAGGAAGATGTTAATAATAAGAACATAAGAGCAGGCAATGTTGGGTCAGGCCAGTGGCCCATCCAGTCCAACACTCTGTCACACAGTGGCCAAAAATACCAGGTGTCATCAGGAGATCCATCAGTGGGGCCAGGACACTAGAACCCCTCCCACTGGCACCCCCA